TACATATATATACACATACACACACACATACACACATATATATGTATGTGTATATACATACACACCCTGCCTAGTCTGTAAATTCCCTGAGGAATTACAGCCCCAGAGTCCAGCACGAGCCCTGTCCCGTGCTATGTGCTCAATAACTGCTATTTGAAAGAGTAAGTTGATAATGGCTGGATGCTACTAAGCCTGTTATAGAGGTGATTCATGCTACAAATTGTTAATGCTCCTTCTAAAACAGCTGATCCTATGATTTCTGAAAAACTGCACACAAACCAGTTTTCCCTGTAGACACAGTCATCCTTTGTATCTGCAGAGTCAATTCAGAATTTAGAATAAAATGGATTATTTATTATGTCTAAAAGTAAATGGTAATATTAGCCCTAGGTTTAAGGCTCAGCCTGGTATTATGTATGTATGGTGGGGGGCGGGGATTGATCTTTGTCTTGAATATTTCTGTACTCCACATAAAAACGTGTAAAGTCTAATCTATTAAGGAAATCTGATCCTTCAAGCTGTACCCAGTTTGGAGATTATCCAACTCTAGGAGTTCCTTCAAGGAAATGTCACCATATCCCTACTGGGAGGAATTTACTGATTCACAGGCTGGTGTTATTGGCCCAGGAGAAGCATGCTGCCCACTTGCCTTTGGCCAAATTCTGGTTCACCCCAGAACTTCATCCCATCAGAGGCCTGGTCCAGCTGAGATGTTAACCCAAAGGGCTTGGACAGAGTAGCCTTTGCAGTCACCAAGGGGATCAATGCAGATCATATCTTCCTTCAGAGACCGCAGAACAAAATGAATTCTCTGGTCTGTGGATCAAAGCCTGAACTCTCCTAAAATCTGAGACAGTTTCCAAAGCCATCATTCTGCTCCTCCCAAGTAGAAGCAGCCGTGCTATAGTCATGTGTCCAGGGGAAAGAGCTCTGTACACAAGAAGTATTTACTTTGTACTGGCACTTCTTGGGACCACCTCACTTAATCCTCACAACAATCCTGGCAGTGAGATTACCGTCTCCCCATTGTGCAAATGGGGAAAGGGCATCTCAGAGAAGTTAACATAGTAGCCCAGAGGGACCAGCATTTGACCTCAGGTCTCTTCAGCCCAAAACTGTGCTCTTATTACATACAACAACCAGAGCACTCTTAAACCAAAAGCCAGATACTTTAAAAACAAAAAAAACAAAAAGCCAGATCAGGACACCTCCTTATCAAAATTCAGAATGCTCTGGTGACTTCCTCCATCCAAACTTCTGCAAGGCTCTGCCTGTTCTGGCCTCTGCCTGTCTGTCTTGCCCCATCTCCTCCTCCTTCTTAATATGGATATTTTTTAAAAAATTTTATTTATTTATGATAGTCACAGAGAGAGAGAGAGAGAGGCAGAGACACAGGCAGAGAGAAGCAAGCTCCACGCACCGGGAGCCCGACGTGGGACTCGACCCCGGGCCTCCAGGATCGCGCCCTGGGCCAAAGGCAGGCACCAAACCACTGCGCCACCCAGGGATCCCCTCTCCTCCTCCTTCTTGCCCTTGCTCTGTCCCTTCCAGTGCTACCGGCCTACTTCCTGTTTCTTGAAATCCCCAAGTCCCTGCCTCATAGCCACCACACTGGCTATTCCCTCTGCCTGGAATGTTATTCCCCTAATGCCCTGCAGATCCCTCCTACTTCCTCCCGGTCTCTGCTCCAATGCCACCTCCACAGTGAGACCATCCCCAAATACTCTTCTCTAAAAGAGACCCTTTCTCCTACCATTCTCTAACTATACCTGATCTTTCTCAGCAGCATGTACCAGTATCTGAATGCAGATGGCATTTTTTCTTTGGCGGGGAGGGGGCGAGTCAAGGGGAATGGGGTCAGTAGAAAGGGGTCCTGAGAAGAAAGGTCAGAGGGAGGAGGTCATGGGGAGCGGAAGCTTAACAGGAGAGGGCAGCCCAGCAGTGTGGCTTGGTGACCACTCATGGTGTCACCTCGGGTTCCATGGCTCCACATTATGGGTGCTGGTTCTGCAGGGATGGGGACTGTCCCAGGGTCCCCGCTTAGCACCCACTCTGCATCTAGTCTCTTAAGATACCCTAGAAGTAGGAGTGTGAAGGGCAAAGAGAAGAAGAGAGCCTGCAGACTGCCATGGGGAAGATTGCCACCCCGCCCCCATCCCACCTTCCCACTGGCCTATGGCTGCCCAGGTGGGTTTCTTCCCTGTGCACCCCATCCAACCCCATTGCACCTTCTCTGGGACCTGGATTTATTGTTCACCCCTCTTCTTGAATTTACTTCTTGGAAAATACCTTTCCCCAGAGTCCATCTGTGTCAAGCACTGTTCAAGATGCTGAGGACATGTCACGAAAGGTCTGCTGATAGGAAACAGCATAGGACATGGACATGATCCAAAGTGGGGAGGTGGGTGGTCAGGTAGGTTCCACACAAGGTCATCTGAGCCAGACATGGAACAGAGGGAGCAAAGCTTGGTGATAGCTAGGCAAAGAGCACTCAGAGCAGAGGGAGGCAAATGTCCCCTGAGACTCCTGGGGGGGGGGGGGGGATGAAGTCTACAACAGGGCCAGTGAGGGCAGACATACAGAAGCCATCAGGTAGGGAAAAGATCTCAGTGTTAGGCCCAGAGCCCAAAGGGAATCATATAAGCTTTATGTTTTACAGCGAGCTATGGAAAATCAGCTGGCTGGAGCAGAGGAGTGAAATTATCTGACATACACATCTTAAAGAAGCCCGTTGAGGTAGCGGTGGGACCAGTATGAGTCCACTGCAGTTAGACCTCCAGGTGGCCAGCATGTAGCACCCAGGGTTGTAGGAGAAGTCCTCGGCTAGTTCACTGCTTACCATCAGGGCCCCACTGGGGCACGGACTCTACATCATTCATTGCTGTGTCCCCATGCCTGAGAGCAGGGGGCAGACATGTGGCCACAGAGCCCCAAAGTGGGCTGCCACACGTCCTTTACCCTCTGCTACCTCCGGTCAAGTCACTTCAGCTCTCCAGGAAACTTTCCACTGACGGGCAGCGGACTTGACGGAGAAGGGACTGCTACTTCACCCCCGCCCAAAGACCGCATCACCCCCTTGCTCTGATATTTGTGTGACGCTGCCAGCTTTAGAATTTTGTGATTTTTATCAGAGAAGAGACATTTGGGGCAACTGAGGAAACAAGAACATAATTATATTTCACAAAGAGAAACATTACCAATGGTCTGTTTATCGCTACAACAGACAATCAGTTCATTTAATGCCTTCCAACATCTTTTCAAATCAGTCAGAAATGGACTCTTATTAAGGGAGAGTTACAAAAAGCTGCGTTATCTGGCATTAACCAATCCGAAGGCTTCTGAAAGTCACATTTCTGAGATTCCACCAATATAAACGTACAAGTCTACAAGGGGACCGGGCAGACACTAATCATAATCCAAAAGGTGACCAGTTTTCGACATCAGTTTCCAGAGATGAAACTATGTCTGTTTGGGGAACTTGTCCCCCTTTATCACTGCTCTGCCTCAGAATGTTGCTGGCAGGGGGTTTGTTTTCTGTAAAACATTTTACATTCTGTAGAAGTATTTTGTAAATAAACAGAAGGTGGTTTACTTTGAAAACTCAGGCTTTACTTTTTGAGTTTTATCTGATGCAGTCTGAACTTTTTTTTTTTACTTGCAGAAATTCCTACTGGCATCTGAGGGGCTTTTGTTTGCTGGACTTTCTTAGTTTTTCTCTAATACACAGAACATCTCACAGAAACTCTTGGCTTCAGGCCATAGTTAAGGTCACAGAAAGAAATACCAAAGGGATAACAGACAGGTCTTCTGGGAAAACTGAAGCTAACCTTTGTGTTTGCAAGTTTTCAGGCATCCGCACACTCCCTCAACTCCCCAAGGTGGGAGATAAAATGCTGTAGATGATTCTGCTCCCAGAGAAGGTAGAAAAGAGGAGTTCATGTTAATTTTTGAATTCCAGTGTAGTTTTTGAATTCCAGTGCTTGGCCTCATTAGAATTTGTAAAGAAACAATTAAAGGGTACAGATGGGAAGGAAGCCAGAGAAGAAGACACAAGGCAGTGAGGTCATGAGCATGTTGTTTAGAGCATAAACTGTCCACTGTATCTTCACCATAGACTAGAATATGTCACTCCATATTTCCACGATATTTCCTGGATACTGTGGAAATATTTCCGGGAAATATTGTATATTGTATTTGTTCATAAAGACATAAACATTATATATTGTATTTGATCATAGATTTTGAACATTCCTAAATACTTTTATTCAGCAGACAAGCATTCACATTCTTTAGTATTAACATGAAGTTTATCTGATATTCAAACATGAATTATATCCAGCTTCCTTCATACAACATGCTAATAGCTTATTACATAATACTCATACTGAAAAATCATCTTTATGGCTTGAAAAATCTTCCAAAGGGCTAAAAGAGACAGAGAGAAGGCTACAGGTGATTTAGTGATATTTATGAGCATTATTGAAATTCTTGTGCCAGAGTGAGGAAATTGTCCACAAAAATACATATCTACAGCTAACTGATAAAATTTCAACAGACGTTCTCTGTTATGCATATGTATTGTTACTTTTGTAATTATTTTGATATAAAGGCTTATTTAAGCTTCATTCCTAAAGAGCCTTTGAAATATGACTTATCAGGGATCCCTGGGTGGCTCAGTGGTTTGGCGCCTGCCTTTGGCCCAAGGCGTGATCCTGGAGTCCCGGGATCGAGTCCCACGTCATGCTCCTGGCATGGAGCCTGCTTCTCCCTCTGCCTGTCTCTCTCTCTCTCTCTCTCTCTCACCCTCTCTCTATCATGAATAAATAAATAAAACCTTAAAAAAAAAGAAATATGACTTATCTTCAAAGAACACTTACTTTCATTAAAGAACCATGTTTCTTAATACTCTGTAGTTGTCAGAAGAAAAGGAGACAACATGTAGCATAATGTGCAGCCTCTAAACAACCAAAATGTGTGCATTTTCATAATATTCAACTTACTTTTTCATTCCACGCCCACAGTCCGATTCCAAGAAATGCTATTCCCAAAAACTGAAAGAAAAAAGAAAAAGGGGTGTTAAGTAAAAGAGTAAATCCATGTTTTTACTGATACAAATAAGAAAGTTTGAAACCAATTCTTTTGTCACTTTATCTGGCTGAGAAATAGTATTGTCATAACAGCCCTTAACAGAAAAAGAAACACCATGATCATCTTGATTAAAATTAAGCATTAAGAAGGGTTGAGTGAAGACAACATGCTATACATATTCAACGGAATATTACTCAACCTAGGAAAAGAAGGAAATCCTTTCATTAGCAACAACATGGATGAACCTGGAGGGTATTATGCCAAGTAAAATAAACTAGACAGAGGAGATAAACAACACAGTATCATTTACATGTGGAATTGAAATAAATAAATTCAACTCCTAGAAACAAAGTAAAAAAGTGGTTGCCAGAGGCTGGGGGGGTGGGGATAGAAAAAGGTTAGTAAAAGGGTACAAGCTTAAGATGAATAAGGTCTGAGGATCTAATGTAAACATGGTGACTACAATTGGTAACACTATATTGGTAAAACTGAATTTCTGCTAAAAGAACGGAAATGATGTTACACACAGGAAGGTAACTATGTGAGGTGATACATGTTAACTCAGGGTGGGGAATTCCTTCACAACGTATATGCATATCAAATCATCATGTGCTACTCTTTAAATATGATTTCATTTGTCAATTATATCTCAATAAAGCAGAAAATACAAATTTTTAAACTTTTTTAAAAAGAAGGGTTGGAGACATGTAGGTGCTTCAAAGTCATTGATATTAAGAATAAAAATTAGAACCTTGAGTAAAATCGAAGTTATTAATAATGTTTAATGCTGCCTTTCAGTGTAAGAGAGGACACAGCACCTGCCCCCATAAATCCAAGCCCAGTGTTCACTAAAAAATGAATGTAAAAGAGCCAGTGATTCTCTCCACACCATCAGGCCGTGACAATTGGTCCAGGTCCAATACAGCACGCGGAAGGCCTCAACACACTCCTTACCACTTCTTCAAAAGGTAACATGAATCTTAGCAAGTCCAATGTGACCCAAAGAAAAGTCCTGGATTCTTCCATTTTTCAGAAACTTAAATAACTTCTATCGTACTTTAGGGGGCTTCCACGGCTTGGTCTGTTCTCATCTCAGCGCCATAACTTCACATACAAACACCACAGTGAGATAAAGGAGAACCCAACACAGAGCTGCCTCTTACACAATCACACACCCCAGAGTGCTGCCCAGTAGCTTGAGTGGAGGTGTTGAGTGGGGACGGGGGACCAAGCAGTACCCAGGGGGATTCTCCATTTTAGTTGGTTGTCATTGTCACATGCTCTTAGATACTCATCTTTCCCCCCCACATCTTAACATGTCTGAAGTTGGGACAGGTCTTAAAAATCGATAGTATCTCAGTTTTTTCCCTTTGACTTTACCTAAAATAACAGCATGTCTTGTAATCTGGGCGTCACATGTTTGATGACACATTGTACAGGGCTGTCTACCCACAAAGAGCTAAGTGGTCAGGACCAGGTGTAACTGGCCATGAAGAAAGACACATCTTATTCTTCATCTTCATTACCAATAGCAACTCTGAATTTCCTTCCCAAATGCTGAAGTGAAGAGAGCGGGCAGGTTAACGAGCAGTTTCCATCTGATGGCAGCAGTGCACCCTGTTTATTTTACTAACATCTTGATTAAGTTAAATGTCAGGAAAGCTGTCCACTGAGAAGGGCGCGCAGAGAAAACAAGCGTGAGGGTGATTATTCTTTGCAGTTTTGGGGAAATCTGAGAGCTGTCTACCTGGCAAGGTCTTCATTCACAGCAGGGGGTTGCTGACACTTTGTGCGCATTGGCTTATCAATCCTAGGAGGACTGGGGGAAAGAGCAGGAGCACAGGGGAAAGGCAGGACTGAAAAACCAGCCAGCTGACTGCCCAGAAAATCTGGTTGTGTTTTTTAGAAGCAGAATTTCCGAAATCTCCCGCCAGTTATCAGACTGTGTAATGAGATAACAGGCAATACCTTTTGAACCCCTATCACAAAAGCTCCAGCATGTCCTTGATTTGGCAAAAAACAGAAGACCCCCTTCCTTTCCCTCTTGCTCTTAGAGGTTTGAAAAGGTTTTAGAAAAAGCTGTTGTTTTGAACATCCCTACAGAAAACTATGATCTGCCTCTCTACGGCCCTGGTCAGGGTGCTGTGTCACTCTATCGTTTTGATGGAAAATGACAAATGCACCAGTCCCCAAAATGACTCCAAGATACTTGGGACTCTATAGTACAAAAACAGAGCAATTCAGCATGTGAATTTCCTATGTTCAGGTCCTAGGCACAGAAGGGTAACAAGTGACAAGTGCATACACAGCATCCCATCAAACCTCGAAATCAGAGTGCTTGGCTTCACAACTACTGATGTGAAACTTATCTCAGTGAAATGCCTCACCTTCTAACAACTAAAACTCTTCATGCACAAATGTTCAACCATTTTCGCCAACGCTGTACTTAATGACCGTCACCACAAGCAATGGGTAGGGTGTCGTGGCAGAGAACATCACGGCCAGCTGTTCCTCTTGAGTGAACACATTCCTGCTGAGGGCTCCTGCCTAATTGCTAACATTTATCCCTTCTCATTACTGGCCAGGCACCGTGCTTAGAGCTTTGTATATGCAGTGTCTCTTTGAGGCTTCTCAACAGTTGTATTTTGGAATAGGCACTGTTACGAACCCAATTTTAAGAAAGGGAAGAATGAGGCTCACAGAGTTTCATTTGTTTAGAAGCACATAGCTACTGAGTGAAGCAGCAGAGAGGAACCAAGAGAAGATCAGTAACATCAACATACACATTCTTACCGGTCCTTAGAAATTCCCATTTCCCCCCATGAGACAGAAAGTGCAAGCATGTAGGTTAGAATGATGTGTGATATGAGGACATCATATATTCCCCCCGCAGCAAGCAAAGTGGACTCTGAAGAGCTAAAAACACTGAGAACCTTGCCTTCGCATAAGGATTGGGTGTAGATCAGAAATTCCCGTATGCGTGTGGGCAATGGAGTGGCATAGAAGAACAGAGAAATACAACTTTCTCCTCTTTGTAGGAAGCTCTGCTCTCTTCTGTGCACTCTGAAAACTCTTCTTTGCAAATCATATAAACAGACTGGAAACCTTTGATTTTCCACAGAGAGGAAAGGAAGAAAAAAATCAGAATTTAAAGAAGACTTACGGACAATTTCCTCTACCATCTTGCTCTAATACTTCCTGCTTTAACTGTGACTTTCCAAACAAGTTTTAAGAATTTGAAGAAAAAACACTGACTGTGAAGTCAAGGAAAGCACTCGGTACCTAAGTAAGCAAGCCATGCGCGGGGCCAGGGCCTCAAGTGCGCATACCTTCCTTGCTACATCACTAGCAAACGTCCTCCCAATTACTCGCAGCCCATATGTTTTGTTTTAAAATCAAGTTGTTCCAGCTTCAAATAATTAAACAGAAAAGAGCCAAAAAACAGAGACAGGCACGCAGCACTTGAGGCATGCTGTGTTTCCCCTTTCCCACCTCCAGAAGAAAAGTTGACTGTAAACCACCAAACTGACCTCATTCTGAAACCTTGAGGCCAACTTCCAGGAAATGGGAAGAACACTCAAGGTCAACTCTTCATTCCTTTGAAAGAGGAAAAAAAAAAAAAAAAACCCAACAGATCAGAGGCCTCTCCCCACATGGCAATATATGCAAACATGCAGTACAAATTTTTGACCGCCCAATTTTTAAGGTTTTAAAACGAGTAATGGTAATTTTGCCAATATTTGTTAAATGCTAAGTATGAACTAGGTACTGTGTTTTCTAGGAACTCACTAAGACAGCGTTGTCTGATACAGCAGCCACTAGCTATTGAGCATTCCAAATGTGGCTAGTGCACACTGAGCTGTGCTAGTACATGTAAACATACATTGGATTTTAAATGAAAAGAATGGAAAATCCTCATCACTAGTTATTTTATTGATTATATATTGAAATTATAAACTTGGAATATTCTGAATTAGACAGAATATATAGATAAGGAAAGAGCCCTTAGAAACCTGTGTTGCTCAGGAGATCGGACTCCTCAGCCCAAGCTCAAAGTGTTTTAGTACTTTCCTGGAAGGCTTGTCCTAAGACTCAAAATCGCCCCTTTAATTTCTTGACATCCAAGGCAAAGGTGTGTATTCCTGACTGGAATTGAGAATGGCACTAGGTGGAAACAGAGTGGCATGCTGACAGAAGCTGGGCATGGGATGAATAGAAAGCCAGCAGAGCTGACACTCAGGAAAATGGCCCTAGGGTTGATTATGGTAACGGGGCGTCTCTGCAGGAGGGACACATCTGCCCCCTTTTGGGGACCATGAACAGAAGATCTTCCGCCAGCTGTTGCTTCAGTTCCAACTAGCTGAGCCTCCAACATCCTGGAAGTAGAAGAGTAACCTGTTCTAACTGGTATGAGATAACTTCAGAAGCCACTCATCCATCCATCTACAATCTTCAGATATTCTTGAGTTCTTACTTTATGCTAGGTACTTTTCTCTTGTGATAAATACAGATACCGTCCTTGCCCCCAGTGAGTATACAGTCCAGTGAGAGAGAGATTTTAATCAAATAAAACATAAAAGACAAAATTGCCCTTGGTGGTTCTATAGAGGAAAAGAAACTAAGGCCAATACAGACGAAAGAGGAAGATCTGACCCACATTGCAGTCCACGAGGGTTTTCATATGTAAGAGATGTAGGAACCAGGGTCTGAAAGATGAGAAATTGTTAAACTGGCAAAGACAGAGAGGAAGAGTGCTTCAGGCAGCAGAAAGAGGATGAGAGAGGAGGCTCTGTGGTGAGAGGAACACAGCATGGATAAAGGTCTAAATGGTGACTGGTATGACTGGTGTGTGAAGAATAGGGGAAAAGTGCAAGTCTGTCATTAGAGACATGAGCATGGACCAGCCCATGCAGGGCCCCAAGAGGCAATTAAGAAGTTCAGCCATTACACTAAGAGGGACAGG